AAATCTAGCTAGATAATGGATGACAGATGAGCCGTAGTTCAGCGTGCGGGCAAATACGGCTCTCTAGTGTTCTCATGTTGAGGAACTAGATTTGCAGTTGGATAAAACATTACTTAAAGGATGGTTGATATCAATGAGTAGCTTTTGAAGCACGTTTGGCGCATGAAGTAACATGAACAGATAAATTGTGTTGAACTAAGTTCGGTATAGAAATGCCATTGTATCGATATATGTTTCAGTGACCTATGAAGTAGTTTGGAATTTATACCCAATAGACCCAGAAAGACCACAGAACAATTGATCCAGTGTGGTAACACATGCAAGAACGAATCGCAGGATCAACTGGTGGGAGAGTGAAGAGGAACGAAAATGCGAAACATAAGAGCACAGTCGCCTGAATTCCGTGAACACTTCATTCAGGTGAATTGACCACGATGAATCATGGCTCAGTGGGATTCACTGACGTCAAGGAGTTTAGCTTTTCCCTGCTGATGTGAAGTTGGAGACAGTCAGCGACGATCTGTCTTATGCGGCGAAAATGGTACATAATTGCACTTGGATGCATTCAGCGTTAAGCCGCGGGAGTTTGACCAATGTACCATTTTAACCAAACAACATTGTAGCATGGTCGAAGATGCTGAAGTTAGATGGTTCGTGTCGACTAGTATGTCATCCGCACATTTCGGTGTGATGGATTTTTCAGGGACAAGGATAGCGCCAACTTAGGTAGAGAATAAGTATGGTGACAAATTGGCTTCTTGAAGGACACCGGAAGTAGTGGTAAGAGGTAAGGAGCTCCTGCCGTTGAACTTGGTTATCTGAGTACGTTTAGCCAAATAATCCGGTAGCGAAAAGGCTATGGATGGTTGGATAGCAGAGATTTTGCAACGAGGTTTACCGGTTAACACAATCGTAGGCGTTGGTGTAGTAAAGGGATCGAACACGCGTACCTTTGTTTTTGTTGTCTAGCAGCGATAGCATTGAGTACAGTGGACAAGACACTGCGTCTAGTATCGACCTCGATCTTCGGTATGCGAATTGACCTACGTCATTCAGACAGAGTTGGTTTGGCACATTTGTAACTTGGTTGTCCGTGGCGCGGTCTTTAATTTGCCCGTTGACTTTTCGTCGAACATCATTTTTTGCATTATCCACCCTGTATATCTCAGTTTTACATGATTAAACCGACAGATATTTTGTTCAATCAACTTCCATGCTCTTTGACATCCTCTACTCCATCAACCTATGATTATACTAGCGTGATGTCGCGCACGATGCCCTATCTACTGTCTGAACAAAACATTTTGGGTCAGTTGAAGCAAACTCTGAAGAAACATTTTAGTGAAACTTTCCCGTTTTGATGGATACAAATCCCTAATATTTAGTTCTATTTTTCGGGATCGTTGCTCGATCGATCTATGACAGTGCATCATTCTCATTTTTCTACCCTTTTTAATACTTAGGAATTTTAATGGCAACTCTGGTAAATTTACAGTCGATAATGTAAAATGCGGAAGTTGCACCCCCATAGTTTCATAAAGCCTATACTGACTTGAGTTGACTAGACTATCTGTAGATCGACCTAGTACGGAAGGTGGCGTACTTTTGTACTATCGCAGTAGTCCGCAATTTCAAATCGGCAACAATCCATATGTGCAAGTAATACTTGGTGATACATGTTAATTTTCCATCGGATACCGTCCTCCCATATCAACTGGAAATGGGCAATTGTCTGTCATCTTCACTGAAGACTCATCCGGCTCAGCCTGACGCTCACCTTCGCCTCCTAAGCGACTACAACTTGCACACACTAGATGTTCCAACCTTACCTGGAGAGAAGTTTAAGGCCGAACTTTAAGATTTAGTTGCCATTGTACTACTCTTTAACCATTTTACTTCCCCAACGCGATTCGGAACAAGGGAAAAGCCGACCATTTTGCACCTCGTTTTCACCAATGAAACTGACATTGGGTAGCCACTTGGGGTGTAGTGACCATTCGACGCTGTCTTTCCGCTAAGTCTGTTACGCTGAACAGTCTGACAGGGAAATGGAATAGGTTCGCATAATTACACATCACAACATTGCACTAGACCTCAATAAGACTACGATTGGTTGTTCGTAGCACAACAATCCCCTGATGTCGCTTGAGGTAAGTTCATCAGTCAGTTCAACAACTTAGTGACAAACAGTCAGAGACTAAGACCGTTGGATCAAAAAGTAAAGTCCTTCCTGAGAAGTAGGATGCGAAAAGCAATGGCCATAAGAGGGGCACTTTGGAAAGCATAAATTCCTATCCAAACGCCTGAAACTGGATTGCCTACCTAACTGAGCTACCCCACTGTGTTGGAGTGGCCCGCGAAGATCAACTGATGCACAAAAAGCGAATTCGGTGAATTATTTCCGCTGCAATTCTAAACTACTTTACAGGCACGTTAACAAACTTCCAAAAGTACAGTGTGGTATTCATCTAAACCCCGTCAGTGGCCAACCGCGAACTGCTCAAGAAGCAGATAATATATTTAAACATCAGTACGTTTGTACTTTCCAGAGAGCAACACCGTTTTACATTATTCTCACACATATCACGTCACCACCAAGTCTTAGCCACATCTCCTTCACAGCCGCGGATGTGCTGAAAAGACTGCTGTCACTACGCGAGTATAGTTCCCCTGGTCCAGATAGCATACATTCCAAGTCACATTCCAAGCCACGACCTTGGCTGAATCATTGTAACAGTTTTTCCAGCACTGTCTCGACCAGATGCAAATCCCAATAGTGGGGAAGCGTGGAAAGTCACTCCCATTTACAAGGGAGGCAACTGTGCGTTGTCCGCAAACTACCGCCTGATTTCTTCTTGTGAATTATGAAGCCATGGAATCGGTTTTTGAAGGCGCACTCGAGATACTTAGAGAGGTGCAATCTCATTGTCCAAAAATAGCATGGATTCCGCAAAAACAGCTCATGTACCAGGAATCTTTTTTGGTCCTTGCTAGATGGTCTGAATCCGTCGATGCTGGGGAAGGAGTCGACGCCGCCTACCTTGATTTCTCTAGGACATTCGACCACCTTGACCACCGGATTATTCTTCACAAACTTCAGCGATACTGGATCGGTGACCTTATCCTGGGCTGGATTCATTCGTTCCTACTACAACGGTGGTTGATTGCAGCACCCTGTCCTATCTGATAGGTTCATTGTGGCGTCCCTCAAAGCTGGGTATTGGACCACGGTTATTCCTCGTGTTTATAAACGGCCTCGAGGAAGCGTTGACGTCAAACCTTCTACTCTTTGTGGATGACCTCGAAATTCGGCAGCCACTCAAACGAAGACGACCGAATAACTCTGCAATGCGATCTTGACGGGGTTTATGAGGGTTTCACCCACGTGTTTGAGTTTAACCCTGCCAAGTGCAAACTAATGAACATACGTCACCAGAACCCTTACGAATATTAACTAGGAAAACATGTCCTGCAGTGAACTTCTCATAAATGTTACCTTGAGGGTCGCGCTCAGGACGATTTTGGATACTCAAAGCAGGTTGCAATAGCTGTGAAAAACCATTCAGCACTTGGGCCTACTGCAGAGGGCGTTTAACAGGTTTGATCCTATCTTTTCGCAAATGTTCCATGTTAACGTGAGACCACACATTGAATACACCATCTAAGCTTGGCATCCCTGACAAACACGTGACCTCACTGTTCTTGAGAAACCACAACGGAGGGCGACAAATTATGTGAAGAGATGCTGCACCTACTTTACAAGTTAAGACTTAAGACTCTAGGAGCTTTTAGAGAACAATATCGTCCTCTGTGTGGTGATCTCATATTCGTGTATCAGATCCCCAAATATCCCAACCACCCATGTCAACCCCTAATGAAACTCAGCCACAACACCTCACTGATAGGTCAGCATTTGAAGTTAGCTACACTGTGTCGCCAAGTGGAATGCGGGCGGAACTTTTTCTTTCCCTGTATCCCAGCCGTGAATGTTACTTCCGCATTTTTTCAAATCCTCTCCTGCGTTGTCCGAATTTAAAACTCTACATGATGATGCATAACATGAGTTAACCCAGGTTACTGGGACACAAAACAAAGTAAGTAAACAATGAGCATGCTTGAAATTTTTGGTAAGTTCACTACTACGCGTGTTTTTGCTACACCATTTTTGATCCCATTCATAACCTAAGGAAAACTGTTAACTGTCTGCTTTCATGTCCGTGCTAAGTTCATTGTTCCATTTACCTACGCCTCATGATGTCTGTTTGATGGAATATGCTTACTATCCAGGGTTCCGAGGGCTTCCGGGTTAAGGGCGTACCGGGGTCATAATAGATCAAGGAGGTCTGAATTGGAAGAAGATACTTCGTAGCCGGCTGAACTATGTCATCGTAACCACCTAGTAGGAGTCAGAGCTGGATGCATGGTGCGTCTGATTTGCACCTCATGGCGAGCCAGAAGGTGTTGTCGTAGTTGCCGATGGAGGACCGAGTCTGAAGTGACTGAATGGATGGAGAAAACACGCAGCTGAAATGGTTGCTCTAACGACACAGAAGACGAAATGAGAATGAAACGATAAATGGAACCGACAATGGTCTCTACACTAGGCTCGACGACATGTTGCCTATTGACTTGCTATAGGGACACTTTGAAGCGCTACACATGGTAATCGTAACATTTCCACACCGTTCACACCGAAGCAGCAAGTATCCAATTGCCAAATGGCCAAAAACCATCTAACTGATCCAAAGTACGAAGCCAGACAAGGATCTATTGATGCATTCACAGGTGAACAACAGTTGATATTACCCACCATACTTACCGAAGAGTAGGTGTTGTATTGCGGGAAAGTGGAACGCAAGGGACAAAGCTATCGAGTGAACGTCTTTTCCCAACATCCTTGTGAAAGTATATGCTATTTTTCCACCTTTGGTTTGGCACGTATCACAGCCCACACGTTCGGCCTAGTTATTATCACATAAACTAATCGAAATAGCTCATACATTCAAATACTCCGCCCATCAATGTGACATTTTCTGTGCAGCGTAGGCAGTGCACCTTATGGTCATTAAGATGAGACAAGTAGGATAAACAGTGCAATATAGCGATGCCACGCTGGCAGAGAGACCGGACATCAGTCGCCATGATGCTGTCTAACGACGAGCGTAATCCGTGGGCTATTAGTGGTGTACATTGGACGCAATCTAGTAGGCATCAGCTGATTGGACGAGCAACGGGTTTGGCAACTGTCGCAGCTTGATTGGCTCACCTGATAATTCCGTCGGACACATTATTGGTTTGGTCCGTGCGTCAAATGCATGACTTGCACTGGTCGCATGGCCTGGGCCGAAGTGCCTCTACCTTGTGAGAATCCAAGTGGAATTCGTGCACTTCGGCACTGATGTGCTACCTTCATTCCGCGTTGCGCAAGAGGATAGTCATCCAATGATTAATTTGTATAGAAAAATACTTCTCCTGTTATCATATTCAACTTCGGCTATCCTCGAGGTACCGGAACCATGGCACCCTAGGGTTGATCCCATGATACTAACCAATCACTCCATGGTGTTCAAACCCGTGACCGATCCCCTATTCCGCACACGAATTATCAACGCGGTTGACTTAGCTTTGAACGCGCAACCGGGTGGTAAATCGATTGGCCATCTGTTTCAATGGCTTTTTATAACTGGATTCCGAGAATCCTCCACTCGAAACGCTGGCGCATGGCTTATTATCGGCGGTGTTGTGCCCCGTCGCAACGCGACCAGCAGCGAACCGTTTGTCTCTGAGGCTACCGGTGTTATTGGCTGTCGACTGAACACTTCCGAGGAGAGTGGGGCCGCTTTTCATCTCACATCGTGCTTCTCACTTCAGACGAGTCTTATCTCCAGCTCCTCTCCACCAGGAGACACGGACACTGAAATTCGTGCTGGGCTCCTTGGAATGGGTCTGTCCAGTTTGCAGCTGAGAGCCCCTGCGGACGGCGCTGTCCTAGTTTACTGTGACCCTTTATGGAGGGTTGCGGATTTGCATCCCGGTGGCATATGTCGCATCCGGTTGCGTCAACATGGAACATGGAGGACTTTGGACACAAATACAGAAACTAGCGACCTCATTGAATTTTGCACAGTTTCCGATCATTCCCAACCGTGTGGAGGCGGTTTTTCTATAGACCTATTACAACTGGATCAGTCAACTAACGGAAATGGCGATTCACGTGGCGATGCGACGCCCAAAGTAGACATGTTGGTGGGACTACCGTTTAAGCAACCTAGTGGAGAGGTACACTTGTTACGGAACATCCTGCAAAATTTCGACGGAGTTCTCCAAAAGCCTACCACACTGTCTAGCTCAGTTCGAATCCTCGGAGACGATAACAATTTTGGATCTAAAGTTAGATTCTTATCTTCATTAGGTGAAGAGGAGTCAGATTGGCTGAAATCGCAATCAAATGAACCAAAGCTAGCACAAACTTCTACTACTGGTGATACATTTTCTGAGACACTGGCTGTGATCTCCTCACCGTCAGGTGCCAATGGCTCAAAGATTGTTGCGTTCCGTCTTTCAGGAGATCAAGCGTTTCGCCTAGATCCCAATGCGAAACAATTAGATATGTATGAAGGTTTCGGACAGTCCATGGTTACTATAAGGCTGCCTCCGCCACCTGTTTCCAAATTTACACATGCACTGGTCATCGGATCTCCTTTTGAAAGCTCCTCTGATAATGGTCCTAATGTTGGACGTGTGTACATAAGTTGTCCGACGTCAGGTGAGGTGAGCATCCGCCCCGCCATTAACGGTTCACATGCCCACGGATTTTTCGGCTATTCCCTCGCTCGTGTTGGCGATGTAGACGGAGACGGTATCCATGATGTGGCCATTGGAGCTCCGGCACTGCAGAAGCCTACAGACTCACGCTCGACTGCTCCAGGCAGAGTGTATATTCATCGTGTGACACCTGCTTGCAGCATTGATCCAGTACCGATTCAGGTAAGCTTCCAAATTATTAACTGTTTGATGCTGTGCCTACCACATTCAACAGGAAATCATTGTTTTATTTTTGAATCATTGTACTAAGCGCCGTTGAACATGCCTTCATTTCACCTGACAACAACGCGGTTACCCTGCTAAAACGTTATCTTTGTAGTTGGCCCTCTCTGGTGTTGTTAACCAAAGGTAAAGGTGAATATGATCGCCCCCATTTTGTTTACTACATAGGAATGCTCACGAATCGATTGCTTCCTTCAAGAGGCCGTTCCTTTGGAGAGCCGCCGAAGCTGCATTTCAGGAACATTCGCTGTAACTGTAGCTGACAAGCTGCACTGCACTAGTGGGGTGGGGAAGTTGACGTGTTTTCCCACTGTTTTTTTTGACCATCCGGCTGATAGTGTGCGTCTCACAGCACACGTGCCGTGCAGTTTCAAAACGCACATATATATTTTCCTTCAAGTTTCCTCAGAAGCCGTATGACAAATATGGACTATTGGAAACAGTGCGGATAGCGTGAGTGTCTACTTTGAATATTTGCACCACGCAGTTTTTTCCATTAAGCCTTTTGTGCGAAACTGCTGGTGAGCTGTTTGTCACCAAAAAAGGCAGAAGGTTAAATCGGACATTCAGTCACAATGACCCTCAAAGTCCATCATTAACCGTTGTGCCAAGGGTTATTCGTCATGACCCGGTGGCTTAGGGGTAGGGTTCACAGTGAACATCCCAAACGTCCCGAGTTTGATGCCTGGTACCTCTATCTGATGTGAGGAAATAACCTCGAAACGCGTCATAGATGTATAGTGTTTTCGGGCGGGGAACGCCTACTTTCTGTTTGCTTCAACTACGGTCCTCGTGATCGAAAGACCCAGGTTCAATTCAATGGGAATCGCGGTCAACACAGATTGCATGTAGCAATCCATCCACACATGAAAATGGCCCTCAAAGTCTATCATTAACCGTTGTGCCAAGGGTTACCCATCTTGACCCGGTGGATTAGGGGTAGCGGTCACAACTTAACATTCCACTGGTTCCGGGTTCGATGACCTCTAACTATATCTGATGCAATAATATCGAAGTGCGTCATAGCAGTGCAGTGTTTTCTGGCGGAGAGCATCCAATTTCTAAAAGCAGGCATATTCTAGCAGTACGAGCATGGCCACTGAACTCCGCACAATATGTCATTTAAACACGGAGGTGGCCAAAAACAGTGATGGCATGCTCTTAACTGTTTCAGCAAAAGCATCCTGTTTAGCTGATTTCCACTTGGCCCAACTACTTTCCATGGAAAAGCACCCAGTCGATTGACAAGTCTACTCTAGTCCGATCAAAGGTCAGTATTTTAGTTTCGCAGGGTGGTAATGTCCAAACGCGGAAGTGAGATCAGCTGGTCACGTTGCTTACAAACTGGTATTCCTGCGACAGTATAGCATGCTTGATCTGTGTACTCAGAAGTGCAAGCGCGCAGGCGCTCAGGCAGCAACAATCTCTGCGACACTCGCGCTGAGCTGGTATCGTCATTTAATGCCCTCTTCGACTCCAGTCGATCCAGTAAAACAAGGGACAGTGAGCGATCCAGTGTTAACCGTCCGGTTATACGAAGCATTCTAATAACGTACCTAGGAGTCCGTTGCTAAATGCTTTGCTCTTGTGAAATTCTCCACAATATACGAGCAATGCTACGCAGTCGCCAGCAGCCATTGATAACCAGTACCTCAATGAGTTCAACTCAAAATATTAAACTTGCCGCTGGTTTCTACACTAACAGTAGTCGTACGGTAGTGCCGTATGCCTTGGCTCTGATTCCTAATCATCGAACAGCCTGCAGAGACAGTTGAGACGTATACACTTCAACTCTGTGCGCACTTTGGTGCTTGACAGCTTGTCCGAAGCTGTGGTTCCTCCGATTTGGTACGAACACCCAGATTCATGCACCCCACATCCGGCGGTCTATAGTCCTCATGAGAACACATCTGTAAGGCCAGAGAGCAGTTAGAACGGTCAACACAGCGTGTTGTTATGGCGCTATTGATCAGCTGTCCGACAATGCTGAGCTGCGGTTTGATGTTGAAGTCACACAGCATGTCGAAACCTGTTCGACACACAACTATCATGCGAACAAAGCTCTTCCGTGGTCTTCAACCGCTACTTTGCCAGCCCACTGCACTGCTCCGACCAGCGACCACTTCGTCGCTTCACTTAGACAGGTAAACACGCTCAGTATAGGCAAAGTGTTAACCGATTGTTGAGTGTGAATAAATTACTAGGATTAGACATAAAACTTCCCTAGAGACCCCATATTTTCAGTGACCTTAACCATATATGCATTTTGATTAAAAGAGGAAGTGAGGATTCACGATGCCCCTCAAAACTTGTTCTCTACGACATTAAATGAATGAATAGCGTTTATTCTGCATTTGCGCGAGACACTCCAGCAAGCGTAATCAAATAAGTATAGCATTTTTCATTCGTGCGTCGCATGTTCATCATTTGCGTCGATGAATATTTACTAGCTAGTCTGACAACATGCTAAGAACAATAGAAAAATGGTTTAAGACGGGTAAAATAGCATAGGCTTTACAGGTTTCATAGGTTGGTAATGAAACATATTCTAATTCGAATACTACTACATAAATGGACCAAATAAAATACGCATCGGTGAAGCGACTGCGTAATGGCGTTTAGAAGGTTGACTGTGGTCGACATAGCCGGATGCATTAACAGATATAATTTATTTGCTAATGTCATTTCAAGTGATTGGCTGTTGTTTGACATCCCCTGTGTGGCTGCGCTTAATATGCATGTTGGCAAGGTGCCTACCTCTCTATTACCCACTACCTCGTCCATACTGGCTCCAGGAGACAGTTGGTCGTTGCTGGAGGGAACGGGGTGCATGGTCGTTGTGGCCATGCTAGGCTCGAAGGGTGATTGCATGCACTCAGTGTGGAGCGGACTACGGTCCAGCCACTGCCTTGTGTGTGCTTGATTCCCAAATACAGCGTGCTTGTGTTTGCATGTGAAGGAGTGTGGGCCGGCTCCGTTGACGAAAGGTGGCTCCCGTCCTCATGCCTCCTGGTCTTATTCCTTCGGCTTTACACTGGAGATGGGTTGTGTGGTTGGAGCTGTGGGTGATGCAGCGCAAGCCATCCATGGTCCTTCTGTAGGCGCATGCGTCCTGTGGCTGGCCACATTGACATGCATATCCGAAACCGGATGCCGCCAACCATGTGGGAGTGAGATAGTACCAGGCAAAGCACAATAGCAAGATGTTTTGGTTAATATTCACTGCAAACAACAAGCTGATTGCTCACCCCTCTGTAGACATTTACGTGCATCACTGAAATCTAAGGAGGCTAGTTATCCTCAATATATATCCGTTCATCTAACAAAGTGTGGGATGTTCAACATGATATCCAATGGTTTTTGGAAAACAGCTAATGTGGCTGCAGAGATAACCGAGTTTGGAAGAACGTCCCAGCGTTAGGAGAAATAAATTCGTCGACAATCTAGACGCGACTGTATTGGTAACTGAGTTACGGGTTATTGCCTCTTAATTTGGTGTTCAGGCTGAGTTTCGGAGGATGGCGGCATGCGTGGCCGGGGTCGCCCAGTACTTGATAAACTAATATTAGATCTCCACGCAGCCGTCGATAGTGTCCAGCGAACACTCCGAGTGCCTTCAGTCGTTTCTGATACGAAACGGTGTGCAAACCCTTGATAAATTTCGTTGTTGGATGCTGGGGTGTTTCTAACGCCTCAAGGTCACACTTTAGCCAAGGATGCCAAGCCCGTGTTGCGTGTTTGACGTGGGGACACACGTAGACATTAGGTATCCGGGCGAAAATGGATAAAACCAAACTCTTGAATGCCCTCCGCAGTAGTCAGTGAGTGTCCAGATTGAACAAGCTCGTCGAGTAGGTGAAAGAAATTTCAACCCTTGAGTTGGACTTAGCGGAGCAGGACTGAATATTCAAGGACTGTCCCACAGAAACAGAAGTACATTTCCGGCAAGCAAATGAGATTTGCATCAGCAAATGCACGGGCTCAATCCAAGATGCAAACTATCATTACTGGTATAAAGGTGATCCCACTGGAGTAGATTTCCCAGTTGAATTATTTATGTGCAGTCTATGGTGCACTCAGCCAAAGGAAGGGCTAGAAAAGTTTGGGATTCGAGTACGCGTAATGATGAACGCGGCTATGACGGTTTCAGTACATCGGTCATATAAAATGAAAATAACACACTACGTATGAGCTATTAACTTCCACATAATTTTAGCATCGTTGTCTGGATGAATGGGTTGTGAGAGCTGTTTTCATTGACACAGCATTTGTCGTATGGGTGTGCGGTAATTAATTTCGGTCTGTTCAACAGTAAGGATCATTCTGCTGGCTTCCAACAGCTTCACCGACTATTCGGACACTTGGCGCGCTGTATGGTGATGGCCGATGAAATCACAGGCAAAAGCTGTCTCGCCAAGTGCATACTAAACGTATTCAGCTCCGTCGAAACTTGATGTCTCAAAGGAAGCGGGTGAGAGCTTAGTAGACATGGTAAGCTGATAGGTTTGCCAAACCGTTGTTTGAAACAGCTCCTCAAACGCAGAGGAAGGAAGACATCCGTTGCCTTGTGTTAATACATACTGCTGCAAAACGTGGCCCTTCAGGGGCATGATCACATTCCACCCGTCACAAGTTAAAGTGGGCCCTAATTGTTCGTTGACAGCATCAGATTTTGGATTTGCCCGTCAATGTGGCCAGCCACAGGACGCTTGCGCCTATAGAGGGACCATTGGTGGCTTGCGCTGCACTACCCACAGCTCCAACCACACACCCGATACCAGTGTAAACCCGAAGGAATAAGACCGGGAGGCATGTAAATGGGAGCCACGTTTCATCAACGGAGCCGGCCCACACTCCTTCACAGGCAAACACAAGCACGCTGTAGTTGGGAAATCAAGCGCACTCAAGGCGATGGCTGGACTGTAGTCCGCTCCACACTG